ACACACACACACACACACACACACACACACACACACACACAGACAGACAGACAGACAGACAGACAGACACAAAATGTAAGGTAAACAATCACAAACAAGTTATGAGAGTAGTCTCCTGAGGTAGGCCTCAATATCTCAAGGATCTCATGTTTGTTGTGAGAAGATCAAAACATTTACAGATTCTCTCAAAATATATCTTTGGTCACTCGCATGGATTTATTGTGCTGTTTTGAACCACATAAAAGCAATTTCAACTTACCCTGAGATGAGCTCATGGGACACCACGTTTGAACTTGGCGCGACAACGTTAATGAGGTCCTTTAACGATGGGCGGAGAGGCTCGACCGTTAATTAACTCCGCTAAGCGTCAAATATTTTAATTCACGACTCGAATCTTTTGAATCTGTTCACTAAAAAAAAAGATTTGTTCAGATCCGTTAACAACTTTAGTTCATTAACCCTTTTTCTGCATACCAGTAAGAAGGCGTGACGGTTTATTTGTGATCACGACATCTAACGTTATCGTTATCACTCTTCTCTCCATATTTGAAATTCTGAGTACAACTGGACTAAGCACATAAAATATAATAATAGCCCAAATTAATTATGAGTTTTAATATCGCATTTACAACATTTTGTGGTCATCAGTCACCTTTACAAAATCATGTTTTTACTCCCTTAGTCCCTTTTCTCTCCTTGTTGTGAAGTGAGCTAGATGTTAATGAAATTTAGATGTCACTTTCGTTCAGAAGACCGACTCGTTTAGAAAAGGGGGCGTATACGTTTACTAGTTTCAACCAATGAAATGCTAGTTCACAGCTCACAGCCAAATACTATTGGATCGTAGAATAGTCAGTCTTTGAAAGCAGTAAAGTGGTCACGCGCTTCAGAAAAGATCCAGCTTGAAACACCACTAATCATCAAAACTGTATAAACGACAAAGAAATAGATTATAGACAGTGTTGGGGGTAACTAATTACAAGTAACGCGAGTTACGTAATCCCAGATTTAAAAAGTAACGCAAAAGTAACGTAACGCATTACTTTCAATAAAAAGTAATTAAGTAACGTAATTAGTTACTTTTTTATGGAGTAACGCAATATTGTAATGCATTACTTTTAAAAGTAACTTTCCCCAACACTGATTATAGATATATTATTTATTTATTTAAAATTTAAATTCAATGTATTATTAAACATCCAAAAAGCTACGTTTATTTGTGCATGAATTCTGACTGTCAAGGAAAGCTAATTATGGTCGCCAAAAGTCGTCAGCGTATTTATTTTAGTGTACTGCGCACACAGACAACATCATAATGTGTATTTATTTTTCGGGTGGGAGTTGGTTGATCGCAATAATCCTTTTGCACCACGTGAGCGGAAGTATGTGACATCATCAAAACAGTGTACGCCTGGGTAGCGTCTGTTACCCAGTCTGGATTACTACATTTAGGGATCGTTTGAATTGCAAACGCTATGTTCCGTTTCATGCGTAGCGTTTGTCGCTTTGACTGACCGCTCGGTATCGAGTGCGACGGCTTTGTTTATTTCCTCTCGATAGTCATATCGAAAACACTATGGTGGAGCAGTCGGATCGTGCTCCGCTGCTGGACTGGGAGGAGGTTCCCCCGGCCGAATTTGCCCCAACGGCTCCATCACCGGAGACTGAGGATTCAGTACATTCCGGTCTGTCTAGCTACCCGACCGAGGGCGGTGTACGGGCAGATATCAACCTGAACGCAAGCCCGGTGAGACCGAATAGTGTACCAGCTGTTTCAGGTGAAAGTGCACACTCTCCCCAGAAGCACAGCGGCCCGGGAGGAGATGCTTCCGCCACTGATGAAGAGGGAGACTGCGCCTTTCATGGACTGTCAGTCAGGGATCGGAGGATCACTGGATGGGAAGAAAAAGACCAAATTGTTGCAGTGTTTGTTGTGACTTTCGACACAAGATCTGGTGAGGTTAACTGTGAAATACTGTAAAATTGTAAAACAATATCCGAGATAATGATGATGATGTGTAGAGGAGAAATCTTTGAAAAATCTAGTTTAAAAACATGCTGAGTTCTTAGAAATATTATAATTATAATCATGATACTTTCACACAGTGTTGAAAGCGATTATCTACAAATGTTTAAATTAGTAAAACGTGCTTTACCACAAGGGTCTGAAGGGGTCCTCTGTTTTATGATTTTAATGTCATATGGCTATAAAATGGCTTCCTGTATATTAGTTACACTGAGAGTTGTAAAATACTATAAATATTTAAATGACATAAAACAATAATATATAAATAATATTAATATATTTTGAAAAATATATTGCAAATCTAATTAATAATATTGTTAGTAGTAATAATGTTGCTTTGCTGTTTTTTTTTTTAAGAAATAATAATAATGAAAGATTTTGCCGACTGCTCTTTTTTCACTTTTTATGAGACAATATTCAAACATTTACACCACTTATTTTTAACTGTAGGTTACACAAAACATCAATAATAACTTAATTCAGAAACTAAAAGCATGTTCGTCATAGAAGTGTATAGTAGTTGTCATAACACATGTAAGGAAATGAATATACTGTGAATGAACTTCAATGAAGTGAGAGTTGTATAAGTCATACAGCTGACTACTGTACTGTTTTTAAGACTTCCTCTTTTTTCATAGGGAGTTCAGTGGAAAAAAGTCATTTAGAGAGTTTTGTGTTCTTCTGCAAACACTGTTTGATTAAAACCTAGTCCAACAGCTTCACAATTGTTTACATAGGCCCACATTGTCTTTTACAGGGAACATGATAGAATGGTGCCTACCTCAAGATGTGAATCTGGAGGGAGTAGAGTTCAAGTCTATGGCAAGCGGCTCTCATCGGATCTCAAGTGACTTCATGTGGGAATCTCTTTCATAAATGCCACTGCATATATAAGAGACAGAGGACATTTGTAACATTTTGCTTAATAATGCATATCTATATCACAGGCCTACCACATATATATATA